CCATACAAATTTGAAAAATAAATAAATAAATAAAATAAAAGTCCCTAACAGATGGTTGTCCAGTTCTGCTTGACCCCACTAGGCTTCATTATCAAGTCCCTAGCATATAAATGTTCTGTTTCTATATTATATCCCTGTGCTTCTTCCAACTGGGAATTAGAGCATTAGGAAAAAGAAATGAGAGACACTGGATGCTGGATCACTGCCCTTGAGAATGGAATGCAAAGAATACAAACCTTTAAGCCATTATTATATATTCCCCCAACTGGTTCGAAGCAGCCATCTGCCTTCTGTTTGCTTGCAATCCAAATAAGAGCTTGGTTCAAAATATTATCATATATATATATATGGGACTTGGTTCGTGCAAATGCCTTGTACACTAGAGCAGTGAGCCTGGAAAAAAAAAAAAAAAAGAGGAAGCCAGGGTAAGGATAATGTTTACACAGCAGCCTAGGTAAACTCACCCTTTCCACTGTTTCAGCCAACACATTATTCATTCCTATGGACTGCCATTAACACTTCTAAGTTACAGTATGTGCTTCTGCACGTAAGGATTAGTTGTGAAGCTAAAAACAATATTTTCCTCTTCCTCTATCCATCACAAATGCTCCATAAGGCCAAAGTGGAACTCCCCTTTGATTGTCATATCTGGAAGCCCACAATCCCCATGTTTGAGGCAACAATGCACGAACATCTTAGCAAGGCAAGTTACTTTTTTTCTACTTGAAATCTTTTTAGAAAACCCACAGTTCTCACCAAAGGTTTCCCTCATTTGCGTTGCCAAAAGTACTGAAAGCTCCATTTGTGAGTTGGTAAAACAGCTGTTTCTGGTATCCTGTAACAAAAGGAGAGTTATATATCAAATACAATTTGCAAATGCTATTTTCCTCTCTCTTTAACAATCACCATTTGAAAACTGGTTATTGGGTCTTTGGTTATAATTCTGATGCTGTCTGATCAGCCGAAGCTTGCATTGTCACTGAATTTTGTCTTGGTGAACTTGGGTTTAAAATAATCATCGATCTCTTATTTTAGAAACTGAACTAAGCTTTGCAACATCCCCTTTAAGCAACAACCATGAATATTAAAATAAAGATAATAATAGACTCAGTGGAGATCTTGATTTTACATGTCTGAATTCCATGTAATAAAACAAAAGGACTGTTGATTACTTTCCTGATTTTACATCCTTAAAGTCAAAATAGTAGCAAAGGGTGTAGTCTAAAGGTTCATTCTCAGGTTCTCCTAACTGCAACACAAACTTGCCCTGAAAACCATTTTTTTCTGCTGACCTCCTAATGCTGCTTTTGTTTACCCACCCCACAGCTCAGGCAGCTGAAAGTCATGTTTAGCTATTCCAATGCCAAAGCAACATTTTCCTTCTTCTCTCAACATTGTTTTTGCCATGGATATGATCTGGCATGTTTCACAGATTGTTTGGTTGCTGACATGGTCAGGAGGTGGATGTATTCAGCTCCTTTTGGCCACTTTAGGCTTCCCTTCCAGTCACAGAGCATTACTCTCCACAGTCATTTCGGTTTCTGCTATGGAGAGACTGGACACCTGGCTTCTGCAGAGGAATCTGCTCACATAACGCCTGATCAGTGCTTTCCAAAACACATTTAAGGTCTTATGTGGGCTCCTTATAATGTTTTTTTGAAAGAGCACTAGATTTGTTTATTTAACATAAGGAGTAAGTGCTGCGCAGAAGATTAGTTTAAATCAGGAAAGAAAAGTGGGTTTTGCCAGCTTTGTGTTGCTGGTTCTGTCATCAGTGAATGGAATATAGGTTTCTCACTGCTTCTGCCAACAAGCATTTTTTATATGTATATTTGCATGAAGAATAATGCCATTTTGCTTCCTCTTAAGCTTACTGTGTAGGTTACTTCCAGCAGCTGTGGCCCATGGCTGCTGCACTGCCATTTTCTTGATTGCTCATTATCGGTCACACCCTCCCACTTCATCTTGACACTGGTGACCTGTCAGCCAGGCTGATTTTGGACATGATTTTAGCACTTTTTCAGGAGAGTGCTATACCCATGTTCATAAATAGCTTGACTGACAGGTAATGAGTATAGAGACTTCCAAGTCTGTGACCCATGTGTTAATTAGACAGGTATCTATACTCCCCCATCCACACCCATTAAGTGATTTGTTGTTTATTTTGCTGCCAGGTGACCCTTGGCTGGGGAGTGGGGGTGGGGGTGGGAATGAAGCCAGGAAAATCCACCAACGGTTTTATTTAATATTCCACTTTAACACAGACTCTGTGAACTGTATTTTCACTACTCCATTTCCCATTTTTACAAAAATGTATTCGAAAACAATTAGCAAAGCCTCATACTCTCTTTGTGTTCATGCTGCTGCTTTTGGGGCCTAAACATTTAGTGGCACTCAATAAAATCAGCCACTGAAATTAAAACACTTACTCTAACCTATTTTAAAAGCCACTTACCACTGTTCAAATGTCCGATTATCCTGGATTTTTTCTCTTCTGTTAGCTGCTTTGTATTATTCAGATAGTTTAAGATTACGAAATTGGACAGGTACATGGCAATATTCTGTTCCCCACAACCATATGGCATCTGGAGATAATATTCGAAGTTCCTCATGGCTGTGCCCAAAATATCACCTGAGAATCAAAAGAAAAGAATTCTTGTAGTCAGTGAATGATTTCAAACTGGGTTGCAACTTCTTGTTCATACACATTTCATAGTTCAGATCACAAAATTTCAGTATACTTTGCATTACTGTGGATATTCAGGAGACAGTTTGGTTGTTTTCGTTTGCCTGCCTCAAAAAAACCTATAGTTCTCCTTATCTAACAATTATACTGAACTACACAGTCACCAAATGATCTCAGTATAAAAACTTTACCTCTTGATCTATGTGGGCATGGGTTCTCTCTCTGTTGGATCACTTAGACAGGAGTGTACAAATTGTCAGCTCAAGGGCCACAACAGACTTAGGGTGGCGTTTGAAGGACACACTCTGATTTTTGGTTCCCATCCATTTTGGATGGGCTCTGGAGAGCTCAAAAATGATGCTGCCAATATGCACATGGCTTCTGGGCAGCATTTTCTTGCACCTCTGATTTAGCTGTAATTTCAGATTTGCATGGGAAATAAACTGAACCACCCTTGTTAACCAGTCAGCTACTAAAGCTTTTGATGTGGGATTGCATGTTAAAACAGCTGATTTATGTAAAAAGGCAAGTACGTCCCATGCTTTTTCCCAATTTACTCTATCTGTTGTCACTGAAAACTAGGCAAAAGAGGGAACTGGGCAGGAAAGGGCTAAAAACAGGCAATGCTAAGATGCAACATTTTTTATTCACACAACAACCTGAATCCATGCACTTTTCCACTACATGAAAAACACCAGCACACTGCTGCAGGTAAATAAGCTGAGGCTGTAAGAAGGTTTATAGGAGCACACAATCACATCTGTTTCTCATAAAATCCATTGCCTGCCACAGCAAAGAATACAGAAAAGTGAATTTAACACAAAAAGGCAAAGAAGAGTATGAGGGGCATTTTTGCCCTTTTCAGAAAGTTCAGGTGCCATGAAGATTGCTATGCTGATAAGTTAAGCAGTTTGACTTGTAATAAAACTTATAAAAATGCAATACTTATAAAATGCAATAGTAGAAAGTCATATAAAATATCAAATGCCAGACCATTGTAATTCTATTGTTCTTGTGTCTAACAATGATAAGATTTATAATTTTTAAAACTTACCAAGAACAGTAAATGAAGCTCTGGCTGATCCTTCCACCAAATTTGCAGGCAAGTTCAAGATCACTGCTTCAGAGACTGGTGTGCCTATGGAATCACAGAAATAAATAATGGAAATTTGGCTCCCAGTTTAACATTCTTTATATCATCATTGCCACTTTGCTTTCTGGTGAGAGTGGCAGTATTTATGTTTGCTTGCTGATGTATTCTAATAAGACTCTGGTGATTGGCAACATCAAAATAAAGGCAATACTAAAACTGATAATCACTAATAGCCATCAAGCTGCCCTAACGTCTACAATCCAAGGGAACATTACTATAGATTAAAATCTCTTTGGAATAAATCTTCTTTAACTGCCCTCATGAGCTCCAGCAGAGAGGGTGCCATCCAAATCAATGGGATGGCTGTTCCAAGAGGGGTGGTGGAGCGGTCATAGAAAAAGCATCATCTCCTGCCCCCCATCCCCAAGCTTCCCATATGAGCAGAATCTTAAAATTTCCTCTGAGACAAAAGAATTGAACAGATTGGTTCCATTTGAAGGAGACAGTCCTGGAAATACAGTGGTACCTCGGGTCACGAGCGCTTCTGTTCATGACCAATTCGGGTCATGAACAGCACAGTTTGCAAAATTTTGCTTCCGTTCGCGAACTCTGCATCGGGTGACGAACAGGATCCACGGCCATTTTCCCTGCTGACACACATGGTCGTGGCTTCCTGTAGGGAGGGGGACTCTCCCTCCAAACAATAACCGCCTCCCCCCCGCCTTCCTGTCCTCCACGCCTCAAGCAAGGTTAGTGTTCTCTCTTTTCATACTGTACTGTACTGTACTTTGTGTCATATTTTTGTGGTTTTAAAAAAAAACATATGGTTCAGAAAAGATTAACAGTATTTACATTGAACCTTATGGGAAAATTTGATTTGCGGAGTGAATTAAGTTCGTGACCCGAGGTACCACTGTATCTGGATGCCAAGTCATAACAAACTTTAAAGATTGAAATCTGCACTCTGAATTTATTTATTTATTTATTCATTCAATTTATATTGAATGCCCATCTGAGACCAGTGAATTGTACTTGGAAACCTATTGGAAGTCAATGCAGCACTTGCAGAACTAGAGATATATGGCAAGCAGGCATGTTGCAGGGAGGTGGGCAATTCTCTATTTTTGTGATGATGAGGGCATGAGTTATTGTCACCAAGGCATCCTGCTTCAGGAAGAGGTACAACTGGCACCACAAGTGAAGCTGGGCAAAGTTCTTCAACTATGATTTTCATCTGCCTATTTAGCAGTAGCCATGAGCCAGCAGAACCCCTAGGTTGTGGCTACTAGTTCAGGAGGAATGACACGCCATCCAGAATAAAAAAATGGAACTGATGGAAAGCCAGATGGCATTTGGACAAACATTAACTTCATCTTGCAGAGATTCAACTTCAGCTTGTTCCTTCATATCCAATCTTTCACAGCCTCCAGACACCAAATCAGGGGTCAGAACCTCTACCACATCTCTGATTTGGCTCAGGATGAAAACCTAATATATGATCAACATACTGATGATGATACCTCACCCCAAACTGATGGATGACTTCTCCCAGCAACTTCCTTAGATATTAGACAAGGAGACAGAGGTACTTCATGTAGGAACAACTGCTGAGTTGATCTCTCCTCCCCCTGCCCACCAGTAATTGAAATTATCTGCTGACGATAGAGTGGAACCACTATCATGGCCCACAGTCCCAGCTCTCACAGGTGACCCAGAAGGATACCATGATCAGTGATATTGAAGGTCACTGAGCAGTCAAAGAGAACAAGAAGAGGACCAGAGATCCCTTTCCTGAACTTTATGAATGTCACCTACCAGAACAATCTGTTTTCCATGAAACAGATGAACAGATGAACAGTTTTCCATGAACCTAGACTGCATGGTAATTGTAAAAAATAACTGGATACAGGAAAGGCCTCTTCAGGAGAGGGTATACCACCACTTCCTTCAAGATGACTGGCACCATCCCCACCCCCAGGGAGCTGTTGATCTCCTTATGGATCCAACCATTCATGTCCAACCCAGCTACCTGAAGAAACTAGGTGGAACGTGAATCTAGTCCACAAATGGCAGAACTCATTCTACAGAGCTCTCTGCCTGCTTTCTGGGAAACAATAAGCCAAATATGAAATCTCATCATGCAGAGTTCTCATCATGCTTAATTAAATGTGAGTGATTTTATTTGTACAATGTTGCACAAATAGCTTCATAGCCTACTGGCATTAATTGCTCTTCACCTGTACAGCAAGGTCCTTGGTCAATACCTAGATATCCTGGAGAATCACTGCCAACAGAGCTGAATTTGCTCTTAAAATTGTTATGTTTATTCACTGGAATCTGAATATCTGACTTTGACTTCAATGTTTTATTTTTAAGAGTATGGCATGCAAAGATTTTAGGATCTAGCACTGTTGTGAACCAAGCTGTTATTTTTTAAGCTTTGTTTGACTATTGACTATTTGTTCTACCTTATCCTGCTTGATTTGAAGGAATCAGCGAAGAATTAAAATAACATATATTTGACAGGAAGATCTACATTTTTTTGGAAATCTGGCAAAATAATACCAAAAGCGATTGTGGAAAACTTGAATACTTTCATTGCATTCATGCATTTCCACCTTACCTTTTGCGCAAATTAGAGAGCTCTGGGTCACCTCCTTTTTAACACCTTCTGGCTGCATGATGGAGAAAATGAATAAACAGGAAAATAAGAGTAATAATAAAGAAGGGAATCACAATTAATAAATAAGTCTATAACACATAGTTATATCTATACTTCGTGATGTCACGTGACCATATTGCTTAGCAACAGCAATTCCGGCAGTCCCGGTTGTTGTTGTAACCCCAGGACCGCATGGCTCATTAACCAGGAAGAGGAGAGAGTTCCAAACAAGGAGTGTGGAAGAGTGCATGGGCACTGCGGGGGGTGCTGCAGGCAGATGCTAGGGAATGTAGGTGAGCTGGTAGGGGCTGCAGGTGGGCACTGAGGAGTGCAGGCACTGGCGAACATGGGCTGGGGGTGCTGCAGGCGCGCTCGCACTATGCAGCACTGGCAGGCGGGGGGGCTGCTACATATTCTGTACTGGGGCTACTTGGGAGAAAAAGTGGCAGGGAGCAACTTGTGACCTTCCCTGTTTCTCCCCATAGACTGATTTACTTGTGGGAAGTTGGCAGGGAAGGTAGCAAATGGTAATCATGTGACTGCAGCTTGCTGCGACATTGTAATTGCAAGCTGGGCACCTGGATCATGATCATGTAACCATGGGGACACTGCTATGGCTGCAAGTCCCCCTCGTTCAGCACTGTCATAATTTTGAACGGTTGCTGAACAAGTGGTCATAACTCAAGGACTAACTGTACATTATTGTTTAAGTTTTTTGTGGTTGGGTTTCAAATATCCTTTTCTACACCTGTGAGACAGCGCCTCACTATCTATTCCTCTCTCTTCAGTATAATATCTACCAGTTAGCTCTGCTTATTGTTTGAATGTTCTAAGCTTCATCTTCTCTCCATGATAGAGTGTGCGAGTGTATATACATTTATACATGTAAATACTCTTCACGTAGATACCTATGTACAGTATCTCAAATGCACGAAGGGTTTATATTTTCCTTTCCACAGACATATGAACCATTATTCCCTCACAAAACAATTACAGGTAGTCTTCACTTAAAGACCACAATAGGGACCAGAAAATTGATTGTTAAACAGGGTGGTTGTTAAGCAAGTCACCATATGACCAGCCCCGATTTTACAACCATTTTTATGATGGTCATTAAGAAATCTCTGAGGCTGTTAAGTGAATCACATGGTCATTAAACAAATCCAGCTTCTCCAATGGATGTTTTTTACTGGAATTTGCTAAGGTCACAAATTGCGATCACATGACTGCAGGGGGTGGTGCGACTGTTTGCAATGATCGTTAAGTGTGAGTACAAGTTGTAAAGCACTTTTTCTGAGGCCATCATAACTTCGAACCATCATTAACAAATGGTCATTAAGTGAGGACTACCTGTATTTCACTCTTGTAGATGCCTAAACTTTATGCTTACCTCAACCAAAAGTGGTTTGATGACTGTGTCCCTGCGTCCCTCAGTTAGCTCACCTGCTTTGGCTTCAGCAGTGACAGTGAAATTCACTGTACCTGAAAGAAGGCCCAATTGCACAAAAAAAAAAAAGAAAGAAAGAAATTTTCATAGGTAAAGAAGAAATGCATCATTATAAAAATCCTACTGCCTGCTTTAGATAAAAATTTACTCATTTGTATGACTTTCTAATAAAAAATTATAAAATATTATAGGTGTTATAAATAAAAAATAGTAAAGAAACAAATCAATATAAAAAGGAAACACTTTGCTAAAAGCAATTAGAATAGAAAGGATGTTCATTGTTATGTGGCTGATTGAACATAAACATTATGATTTGCCTTGATGAAACATCTTAGGTTACCTTGTACTATTTCACATGTGAGAAAACCAGAAGAGGCTTCTGGCTATTGGAAGTCCCAGGAGAGGCTGAAGAAGACTCTCAAAGCAGCTAGAAGCAAGGGGCCAGTGTTGCTTTGCAAAAGAGCTTTGAACGGATGAGCCTACTTTAAAGCAAAGCACCCCTGTTTTGTCTGGTTTCTTTCTGAGAAGGAATTAATTTAGTAGAGCAGCCTATCTCAATCTATAGGGTTGACCACATTTGGCTGTTAATTCTGAGTGATGTAATATGAAGAGAGCAGGATGGTACCAGTTGCAGAAAGTTATTCTATGAAAATCAGAGGAAGGATAATTCTGCAAAAGAATAGGTTACCTAGCTTTTGAAGCCTAATTCTCCAACTGTAGGATTTTGTTTCATCTGCACATATTCTTGTGAAATCCTTCTCCGTTGACAGATTTTCTACTTCAAAATCTTGAGAGTCTTCTAGTGTAACAGTTACCTGAGAAGAAAAAAAGAACCCATTAGAATATAAGTGTAGAGCTATTATTTGCTCAATCTAGGCCAGATCTGCAGGTCTGAGCAATTGATTCCAATCTATTGACATTCCAAGCTGCAACTGGCTGCAGTGCCAGGCATGCCATCTCCTCTCCAGCAGTTGGTCATTGTCTATTTCACCCAGGGCTGTTATGTTCTCAGCTGGCCTACAGCTTCCTCTTTTTAATTTTGGTTTATCTAATGATGGGTCACAAACAGCATGAGTCCAGTAAAATCTCCTGGCCACATGGTTTCCCCCACCTCTTCTGCACCTCAGTTCCACTGTTACATTTTTCAGTGGCTGCTCTTTCAGTTTCTGACCACACTGGATAAAGTATACTGTCCTTTCTTCTTCATCTTGTGCCCACTATACTGCAATGATTCCTTTCCTTTCCTTTCCTTTCCTTTCCTTTCCTTTCCTTTCCTTTCCTTTC